TACTCAGAGGCAGTGTCTGATCCAAGATGGAGAGAAGCTATGAATGAAGAAATGAAAGCCTTAATGAAGGCTAGGACTTGGGAATTAGTGGATCTACTAGAAGGGAAGAACATTGTAGGAAGTAAGTGGGTGTTCACTGTGAAGCATAAGGAGGATGGGTCCATTGAAAGATATAAGGCCAGGCTAGTGGTGAAGGGGTTTACTCAAAAGGAAGGGATTGACTACAAGGAGACTTTTGACCCAGTTGCAAAGCTTAACACAATACGGGTTCTATTGTCATTAGCTGCAAATTTCTCATGGGAGCAACATTAGCTGGACGTGAAGAACGCTTTCCTGAATGGTGATCTACATGAGGAGGTATTCATGAATCCTCCACCTGGTTATGATTTTGATGGGAAAGTTTGTAGACTGAGGAAAGCACTATATGGTCTTAAGCAATCCCCTCGAGCTTGGTTTAAAAGGCTCTGTGGGACCATGAAGAAAGTGGGGTACACTCAGAGTGGTGCAGATCATACCTTGTTCATAAGGAAACATGATAGCAAACTTACAACACTTATTGTCTATGTGGATGATATGGTGATTACCGGAAATGATCCAGAAGAGATAAGAAGATTGAAGGAGTTCTTGGCATCTGAGTTCGATATCAAAGATTTAGGTCATCTGAGATACTTCCTTGGAATTGAGGTTGCAAGGTCACAAGAGGGCATTTATATATGTCAAAGGAAGTATGTCCTTGATCTTCTGGAGGAGACATGTACGATGGGGAGTAGACCTACAGATACTCCAATAGAGAAGAATCATTGTCTACAGGAATCAATTGGAGAGGACTACCCTGATAAAAAAGGATACCAAAAGCTGGTGGGAAAATTGATTTATCTATCTCTTACTCGACCTGACATTGCTTATGCGGTGCATATTGTCAGCCAGTTCATGCACTCTCCAAAGATTTCTCATATGAAAGTAGTGGAAAGGATCCTCAAAAATTTGAAGACATGCCCGGGACAAGGAATTTTGTTCAAAAAGCACAATAAAATTGAAATTGAGGCATTTACTGATGCAGATTGGGCCGGTTCTATTGGAGATAGGAAGTCTACTTCTGGATATTGTGAAGGGATGAGAGATCCATCATATGGATGGACGAACCCTGCATGAAGGTTGGGCGAAATTTCAAAAATTTCTCTCTCTCCCATTTGGGAATCGCATTCCCTATTTTAAAAAACTGCATTTTCAATGATCAATCTTGAACCAAACCGGACCGGATCTGAAACCGAAAGGGAGGAAAGGGATATACCTGATACGAAGTAGTAGTAACTCCCAATAAAGGTGTCCACGCCCAAGGAGATAACCAAAACCCGCTTCCACTGAAGATGATACAATGTATGGTGAAGCAAGATCAGCAGGACGACTCTTCAACAAGAACCGAATTCTTCAGCAAGAATGGAGTAGAGGGCTGGTGAGCACGACTTCAGATTGCTTCTTCTACCAATAAGCAATATCAAGAACAATTCTTGATCACTCCCACAAGTGGAGATCGAACTTGGTGGGGCGGCAAGAATAGGGAAGAACTCTGCAGATTGTTGTCTTGTATCTGGTGTATTTTTCATGTCTGCCCTGCTCTCTTATTTATAGCCTTAAAGAGACAACCTCCTAATCTGATTAGGAGTTTCCTGATCAAAATCTTTATTTGGATCTAAACTCTTTAAGTGATAAGGATAATCCCTTATCTTATCTGCAGTTCAAGATTAGCTTAATCCTAATCAAATTAGGAGTTTTCTGATCCAAATCTTTATTTGGATCTGGACTCTTTAAGTGGATAAGACTTATCCTCTTATCTTTATCTACTGATCCAAACCCAGATCCACCCCTATTTAATTAACCTAATTAACCCAGTTCGAAATTGGGCTTTAGGCCCATTAAGTTTATGTGCTCACTTAACCTCTTAACCTACTGCCCAGTTGGCTCTCTTTGTATGGCGTGGGACCCAATCATTGATCTACACATCAGCCACATGGGTTCAGCTCAGCCTTTGTTACAAGGCCTGGCCGAATTCACTGTAGGAGACAGTGAACCCCTGAGTCCATCACTATGGACTCTTAATGGGCCCAACATTTACACTAAATGGTCATTGGGTCCAGCCACCTT